AAAAAGGTAAAGGTTCCCTTGCTCGAAAGCCAGTCGAATCCGACTCTAGGGTTGCGGTGCTCATCTCCGTTTCAAAGCCGAAGAGCCAGCGCTGTCCGAAGACGTTTCCGTGGTCATGTGGCCGGCATGACTAAACACCAAGGCGCACAGAACGCTGTTACCTTCCCACCGAAGTGGTACCTATTGATCTACTTGCAATTTCTTGCTTTCGAACTGCTAGGTTGGCAGGAGCTGGAACTAGAGACGGGAGCTCACTCCGTCATGCGGCACCCGGGTCTCGAACTGCTGAACTGCTGAACTACTGACCTTCCACAACCTGCAGTTCAGTGTGGGGGAGAAAAGGCAGGGATGATGGTGGAACAGTCTTTTTTCCTGGGTGGAGTTTAAACCAGCTGGTGGAAGGGGGGATTTTTTTGGATCAGGAAAATGGTATAAGGGTCCAAGTTAAGCCCCCCCCCCAAGATCATTGACCCAATCCATAGGAACTATATCTGCTGGCTGGTGAGTATGTTTTTTTGAATTTATTTTTTTTTGGTTTAGCCTTCCCCTTGTTGAAAAGAAACTTGAAGTTTGTTTAAAATTTTGTCACGTTCTCCTTCCTCCTGCAGAGCTCCTCCCACAGTGCAATAGATGCGTTTTCAACATTATTTCTGCACCATGAAATTGTGGGAGTCATAGATGCATACAGGATGTGTGCATGACCAGAGAGGGTGCACGGAAATGAATTTGTGAAAGCAGTAGCAAAAAGCAGAGAACCACAATCACTTGGGGGGGGAGGATGTAAATGTAGATAAATCCTTGACCTGCCCAGCTGGTCGCAGTAGCCTTCTAATGTCAGGCCTTAGTTCTAACTCCATATAACTTCTTAAATCTTTACCCTTGACCTGCCCAGCTCGTGGCAGTAGCCTTCTAATGTCAGGCCTTAGTTCTAACTCCATATAACTTCTTAAATCTTTACTATGTATCCATTTTTTAAAAAAAGTTTCAGATATGTGTGTGTGTGTGTAAATTTGGCCTTTCTCTTGTGTCTCTGCTCACCCATTAAAATTTCCCATTTCAGGTCCTGCTTGAGTCCAACCACATCTCACTAGTCATCACCATGAAGACTCTCTTGGGACTCTTCATTTCCTTTGGCCTTGCCACTCTAGGTAAGGAAGGACACAGAACTGCCCATGCCCAGGTTGACGCGGCCATTTCCCTAGAATGGCCACTGATATCCACACTACAGAGATCAGTTCCCCAGGAGGAACTGGTGGCTTCAAAGCGTGGACTCCATGGCATTATGCCCTTCCCGTGGTGTAGTGGTTAAGAGCAGAGGACTCTAATCTGAGAGAACCGGGTTTGGTTCCCCACTCCTCCACACGCAGTCTATTGGTGTGACCTCCAGTCAGTCACAGTTCTCTCAGAGCAGTTCTCGCAAAAGCAGTTATCTCAGAGCTCTCTCAGCCCCACCAACCTCACAGGGTGTCTGCTGTAGGGGGAGGAACGGAAGGAGATTGTAAACTGCTCTGAGACTCCAAGTGAAGGGCAGGGTATAAATCCAGTCTCTTCTTCTTTGTTCTCTGGCACTCTCCCCAGTTTCCCAGAAATTTCCCAAACCAGAGCTGAAAACCCTAGAACGGCGTCCTGGTCACCTTGGGAAATCCACCCATGCTCGTGATAACTTCAGTGGTGTGAAAACCAGTCTGACTCCCAGAAACCAGATGAAGATGGATTATGCCGTGAGCAGGAAAAACCAGTATGCCTCCTCCTATACATCTAGGAAATGCCCATCATCCCTATCTTCTTTTACCTCTGATTGTATCTAAATAGCCTGTAGAAAGTGATGCCAAGCCACCGCTGACCTATGGTGACTTTGTAAGGCAAAAGTCCCCAGTGTAGTCCCATTGGGCACCATAGATCCCGCCCACATTTTTTATAGAGCCTGCAAAGTGTTTTTTTAGAAAGTGGGAGGAGCCAGAGGGGGCTTTTCCCATGCAAGGCTTTTAATTGGCCACTGGAGCTTTTATTGGCTCTGGAGATTTTTTTAAAAATGTTGCTTGGGCAACCGGTGCCCTCACAACACAAGGATCTTCACAGTGGGGGTGAAGCTAAGCAGTTTTGTGTCTGGTTCCACTTCCTGCGGCAGCCATATTGTGGCTGTGTCCACCACAGTGTGTCAGGATTCCAAAGGTGCCTGCAGGCTTGAAAAGGTTGCTTATTGCTTGTTATTTATGCGGACCACCACCAGGGGTCCTCGGCTAAGTAGGAGCTTGGTCCCCAAACACAAAGGGGACCTCGGATCCTAGTCCACCTCGAGTCCACCAATAGAACCTTGGCGGGAAATTCAAACCCTCCAATGGGACCATAGGTGTACCGGGGTGGGTGGGTGTATATAATTGGCCTTGCAGAGCCGTTTTAGTTAGTCTTGTTGTGAAGTACAATAAACGCATCTGAACGCTTGTCGTGGTCCGAGTCTTCCATGCGGCGAACTCAGTACTTTACATTGTTGTTGTTGTTGTTTTCAATTTATATACCACCCATTTCCTAAATAGGGCTTCAGGACAGTGTAGAACAAACTAAAATTGCAATCATAAGCACTAGACAACACTTTCCAAATAAACATCCCAGTAAAATTCACAACCGCAATAAAATTCAAACAGATGGTGGTCAAATTCCAATTGTGCTACCACCTTGCGTGGGGGGTGCCAGCCAGATGGACACCATCGCTGTCCTCAACCAAACGCCCGGTGGAACATCTCTGCTTTACAGGCCCTGTGGAACTGTAGCAAGTCCCGCAGGGCGCGGATGTTACTCAGCAGAGCCCTGGTCGAGGGCAGCCAGATATCTCTAATGTTGGGGGCTTTTGTCATGGGGTTTTCAAGATGGAGAGAGGCGGTTTGTCATCGCCTGCCTCTGCATAGCATCCCCTGGACTTCCTCGGTGGCCTGCTATTCAAATACTAAGCAGGGCTGACCTTGCTTAGCTTCCACAATTCCTCTTCCACAATGGCTCTTCCAGGTCAGTGCAAATGAACGGTAGCTTTTCAGCAGTGGTTGATTCTGCATCTAGCATTCACTCCACATTTTCTCAACACCAAGGAAAAGGTGCAGCTCAAAACCACACTCAAATACCCCGGGGAAACGTGCCGTACTTACCACAAAGTCACCCCTGAATGGTCATAAAACTATGAAGAAGGTACCATAAAACCCAATGGTCAAAGAAACTGACAGCAGCATGCAATGCAGAGGGGAACTTCTGTTCCAACGTGGGTTTCGTAAAACAATGGAGGGAAAAGCCAATGTAGAATCACCCAGCATCGCTTTTAAGCAAAGGCCTGTTTCCAGAACAAATGGTGTGGCTTGTTTCTCCTTCCGTTCTCCAGGCTCTTCTATAGAGTGTGAAGTTTGCTCTGAGCTCGGCACCAGCTGCAGTGGTGGCACCATGCCTTGTGAAGCTGGCAAAGATACCTGCATCATCATCGCGTCTCATCATTCCCTTGGTAGGTGAGAAGAACCACTCGTAAGTCTGAGCATGTGCTTACCTGAGAGCCAGTTTGGTACAGTGGTTAA